ACATGAGGTTCCAGGTTGATGTATCGATCAAAACCCCAAAAACCTGAAGATGTAGAACGCTTATTATAGGGAAGGAGATTCATCAACAATGGCCATAAACACATGCTTGTTTCCCTTTCCTGCGACATTTTGGCAGGCGCCTCCAAATCGTCTTCCTCAACAAGGGTGAGAGTGCTTGGACGACTGCAAAACTTCTACTTAGCTTAGATGTCTCGAGTTTGGGTGGTCATGGGTGGTCTCTTCACCAAGCTCATCGGGTCTCCACTCGCTCGTGCCCGGCCCTCCGAGTACGGGGACCTCCTCCACACCACTCCGGTCATCCTCTCCTCGAGCACGTCGTCGTCTTCGGACTCATTTGAACTCACGTCCGCTGTATCAAAAATGATATGCTGCGCCTGCGCAGCACAGGCACATGGCGTGTGGCACTACCTCTGAAGCACACAAACACAAATGAGTTCAAAATTAAGTGCAGCAAATCCGTTGAACCCATCAATGGTCCTAGCCTAGCCAATTATATAGTAATATAGCATTCAGTTATAATATATGTTCATAATTGTTCATATATGACTGCGTGATCTATTGGCATGGCTCCGTGGTCTGGCATGTGCAAAGACATCCAAACACCTCCAAACACACGTATAAAGCTCCCAGTGAACATCATAAAGCAGGCCTGATAAGAACCTGGTCTGCCTGTTCTTTTTACATGGAACGTCCCTGCAAATCAAAGAGCTAACTGCCAGCAAACCTGATCATCAATCAACTATACACACTGTCCAAAAAAATATATATATGTGTGTGTGTTACTGTCAAGAAGTGCCATGGGCTCTGTGGTTCGCGTGGTTCATGTGCATGTGTTGTCCGTGGTTCGCACCGCTGGCACTGCGAGGCAGCGCCGACTCTTGGGGTTCCGACTCGCTGGTAGCGTTCAGACCCGACACAGCTCCGAGCTGGGAAGCGAGCTTCCACCCCGCAGTTTAGATACTTTATATTAGATAGGACAAATCCTTCCTGACTGAGAAGAAAAACGGTCTATGGATGTAGAACTGCTTGAGCCAAACAAACACCGCAACAACTCCCCTCCAGCAACTCACAAGAGAATCCCTTGAGTGCACTCGTTTCTACTACTCGTTGCACCAGTCAAATCAACGGGACAGCAAGAGGTTCATGGTCTAAAGCAGGTTGCGGACCAGGCCAGGACCAGGAAAACCGTTCAACCCCCACCGCACCTACTATGCCCCTAGCCCAGTGCCACGAATAACTCTGCACGAGGCTCGCAATCGCGCGCTCGCTCCCGAACGCGCACCTGCCGGAACTCGGCCACCGGTGGAATTGACACTCTGGCGCCTGGGCAAACAGCGGCTCTTCCGCACCGCAGCGGCCGCAGCGGACGAGCAGTTCGATTCTGCTGAGCTCGGTCCCTTCGGCCCGCCAGGGCCCGCCAGGGCCTGCCAGGCCCTCAAACAAAAGGAAGGAGGGTACACGTTGGTAGCTGCAGTGCCACAACTGGCGGTTTGGGTGTGGGATGGTGTGGGTGTTTGATCCCTCCAGGAATTTCCACCACTGGGCTCTCGGGTTCTGGGCCCACCGGTAGATGTGTTTGAGGTCACTCTTCCAGGGGCGCCCTGCTCCGCTGCCTACATTTACATGCCCATCCAAATCATCGGCAGCATCAGCATCAGCATCTCAAGCGCACCTCTCATTGACGACATAACCCAAAATAACCCAAAAAACCACTTAAAAAGAACTTCAGAAGCTTGGCACAAACATGCCCAAACTATCTCAATGAACCGAATCGCCAATTGTCCCTTCTGTGTTTTGACCTTCTTGCTGCCAGTGGGCTCATCTGCCAAGCAATCGCTGGCTTTAGGATCCACACAATCCCAATGGATTCCAAACGACCCAACTCCAGGGATCAGTGTCCAATTTCGTCAATCCCCTGAGGAAACACCCCCCTCCTGAGGCAGGCGCACTGAGAAGAAGCAGTCATGCAAGCAAGTGAACACAACTTCATGCAGTCATGCAAGCAAGTCGTGAAGGGAGGGGTGTGATTCCCTGTCCCTTCTGTGGCTCCCTATTGGGCGGGCTGTGCCTGGGCCAATCTGAGACTGCTTCATTGACTTATCGCATGAAACGAAACTTTGGAACATCCGGGTTTGCTTCTACATGCCTTGACTTCATGAAACTCTATGTAAACATGGCGACATAGGCCCATCCATCTGCAATAAATCGAGAAAGGACCACCTCCATTCAAAAGAACTGCTATTCGCCCGATCAAAGATGTTTCGAGGACTGCCACACTCTATTTCCAACCTGGCCAAATGCACTAGGGCTCTGACCAGTTGGCCATGGCAAATGCAGGATCCCAGGAGGACTGATAGGGGTGGCCTGACAGGGGACTGCATGATATCGCCGGTCGACACGGCTTGGGTGGGCTATCCTTGGGTGGTCAAGGCTTCTTTTCTCTTCGATCAAATGGAGCAGGGGGATGATTCATGTACGCTTGCGGCTCAGTATGGCTAGATGAACATGTTGCAACCAGTAGGGGGGCGCTGTTTAAGAGAAGGTCTACACGGGTGTTTTTTGGAAGGTACCGGTGTAGCCGGATTCTTAAGCCTGCATAGGGTGGGTAATGCAGCAATGCGTCGAACATCGTAGGCATGGACGGCATAGTAAACAATAGCAAACAGAACAAACAGGCACGAAGTAATGCTGCCTGTTGATTAATAAAGCCACCTCAGTAGCCACCTCCTACCTGGATGCTAAAAAAAATTGTAAGACCCACTAGTTAGGTGGGAGAATTGGTCAACAGTCAACACTACTAGTGACTGCACCCCCAACTACTCCAAATCCTCCACAAACCGAGTTGATGGGTCTCATGACCGGGACACCGCGGTGTCCATCCCTCGAAGGGGTCTGGAATTGAACCTGGGATCCTCTCCATTGCATTGATTTATGACATGGCATGGAACCCACTAGCAGGCAGTATGGGGATGAATGATCGCTCCAAATTGGGGATGAGATGCCGCCTTCGGATGATCGCTCCCCGCTCTTCGGACGTCCAAGCAACTTGACATGTGGATCTCACCCTCAATTTGGAGGACCAACTATATACGTTGGTTTCAGGGTTAGATGGTTTATATAGACCTCCATACCAAGATATCTTTGGGTGCCAGTATCATCTATATAATTACTACCATCTAATCACTGTAAGCTTCTGACATGTCTCAAGTTGAAACTCCTGGGCCCGATGCACGTCTCCAGCACTCGAGCTTTTCTCGAAGCTCGAGTGCTGGAGACGTGGAACTCACGGTCTACATCTCACCAGGTCAATCCCTCCCCCCAGGTCTACACGTCACGAAGCCTGTTCTTACCCCAAGAGCATCATGGACATCTGAGGCTCCCCCAAAAACCCTCCATCTGAGAGCCCACACCTCTAAACGCGAGGAGTCCAGCAGGGAGTCCTAAGTGAATGCCCAAGTGGATGACCCAGCATATTTGTCCAAGGTCCTGGATTGCCGGCACGGCCATAGTTGTTATATCCCAGTTTGCTAAGTTGTCTTGAAACATCTGCTTTACTTGATATCATCTCCGTATGGACCACCTGGTCTAAGACTGTCTGGGCCACCGGGTAGACTGCAGCGAGTGTTCGCGCCAGACTGTCCAGACTGTCTGTCTGTCCATCCAATTTCGGAGCCGAGCGTCTACATTACTGGGGGAGTCCGCCTCACTGCCATGGCTCATGATGACTACTCCCATCGCCCAGTCTGAAGACGCTGCGATGCAAAGAAAACAAAAGCACAGTGGCTGTGAGATCCCATGCCTTCAGTTTCATCTTCCAACATACACGAAGTGACCCAGGTTTTGGGCATGCTGCAGCTCTGGACTATGAATGGCTCTTAGGTCTGATGGCGGCTATCAGGCCTAAACGGCTTAATCTGCTATCAGGACTGCTCAAATGAGCTTCGGTTTCCTTCAGTTTGGAGCTAAATACTGGCGCTAGTGACCTATAGTGACTTCCAATCATGGCCCGCAAACTATGCATCATCATCGCGGGTAGTAGGGAGCTGTGAGAGCAAAAACCGCGGTGTCGGATCCAAGTCCCACCAACGCCCTCAGACTCAAGCCTGCTTGGCTAGGGAACACCCGGCATGAGGAATGAATCTGGTAGCGTTTGGCGCGGTCCAAACAAAGCGGCGGTCATTAGCCGTGTTGAAATCGCAATGGTGCTTCGAATAATTTATGTTTTGGGATCATGCTGCATCATACTTGGTGTGGAGAAGCAAGTGGACCCACTACCATGAAATCTGGAGCGATAGCCTCGACAGATTTGTCACAAACCCAAATATGTCTGGGTGTGGAAGGTGCAAAACAAATTGAATACCCAGCAATAGCCCCCTAATCAGCCAAGTCCTAATGTTGTTTATATGCAACTATATACACGTCCGCTTTGTTAGTGTCAGTGCGTTCCGGCGAATCACACACAAATTTACACAAATCAAGATTGAGAACCCAGTTGCAAGCTCCTTGCCACAAACATTTGATTCCCAACAGCAACATGTCTTGTCTGGCTTGCAATTTGGAAAGCACTGGATCCATGTCTGCTGCGTGCTGCACACAACACACATGCAACCACGATATCGCGCGTGCCCATGTAGTGCAGCATACACAGCGTTTGAGGTAAATTAATTCCACCAGTACTAGTATTTCTTGCACTCCAGCCGCCGTCCTACAAGGCAAGCTGCAAACACACACGTGACACACAGAATACACCCAAGCGTGGCACGGGCCGTTCCTGTGAGGTCTGCCGCTTGCGACATCCGAACGAAGTCCCTCGTGGCCCGAGCAACTCATGGCGCACCAACGAAAAAAAAAAAAAACAACATGGTACACTCCCTGAAAGAATTGATGGCCTTCTTTTCCGGGGATGGCACCAGCACCTCTTATTTGGTCCGGTCCTGCGACGAGTCAGTCCTCGCCCGGCTCTGAACATCGGAACGTCCTTGAGGCACACGGAGGCCAAACCCTCCGCCCGGTGCTTCTCGCGGAGTTCGCGCTGGGCATCGTCCAGGAAGTCCTAGAGACGATCGCTGTTTGGGGGGTCATCCCAGCCTAAACAGCAAAGAGTTTGCTTTGCTCTACCCCAAATCAAAGCGGTGTTTTCGAGGCAGGAAACATATCAACTGTATGGCAAAAGAATGGCAGGAGAACTCAACCGCCTTGATCCGTGAAGGCGGGGAGTTATATATAGATACAACAACGATGATTAGGCAACCGGACAAGCACATATGTTTCGAATCTTTCAAGCAACCTACATCAACCTACAACATCCTACCACTCAGAACCGTTGAGAAGGGCTCGTGTCACATTGCAAAGGTCACGAATTGAAGGTGTTGGGCAATCATGCTTCAGCATTTGCAAGGAGTTGAGGGGCCAAACAGCTGGAGCCCACATCTGCAAACATAGTCCTAGTATGTTCTAGTAGCCTATTCCATCAAAACTGGGAACCTCACTGCAAAGAATGAGATTCCTGAAAACAAGGAATAAAAGAATTCGATTAACATTCAGTTAACTTCACTGTAGATTCAGGTCACAAACGGGAAAACAGGATTTCTTCAAAGACGTCTGGCGGCCCTGGAAGGCCCTTGGGGTGGGCCGTCAGCAGACCTGGTCCCGCCGCCTCCTCTGGACGTGCCACCAACTCCGAGGCTGAGACCTGGACCGTGGGCCGCCGTTTGCCGTGGGCCGGTTCTGGAGAGTGGGAGCTCAAAGCCGTTCTATTTGTTTTGGGGAAGGGTCCCAAGGAGAGTTTATGGATTATGGTATACACAATATAATACATAAATATATAATGATATCAAATGATATAAGTCAACAGTTCATAAATATGTATGTGTATATATATATATAAATATGCTTCCTAGGATGTGTTCCGGGTTTCCGGTAGCGAACGTTTTCAAGCGTTGTCTTCATGTGTTGAATTCATCCACCTCGGGCTTAGTGATGTTTAGTGTATGTGCCAAACACCTCCGAGAAAAAGAAAAGCAAACACAACATCACAATGTTCTAAATGTAGTGGTTGTTTCTAGATTTGAGGTCTTTGCCTCCTGTTTAGAGCCACCAGGGCCGACATTCTGCAATTTTAAAGAGACCCAAGACTTCTCTCAACGGAAAACATCCACAAGAAATAGAAGGTATAAACATCATAATGTAGACTATTGATTTAAACAGCAATTGGACAGCTTACACATTCCAACAGGGGATCATTAATGAAGCCAAGAGTATACATTAGGTATATATACTGAAGAGTGAGTCGAAGCAAAGCCGTCCCCAATTGTCCAGTGATACTTTTCTGCGATCATATCTTCCTGGGTAACGCCTGTTTTTGGAGGGTGTTGTAGGTTGTCTATGTTTGCATGATGTTAGTTTTCATGCTCGCAGCACAACAAACCCTGGTCGCATGGCTGAACCCCATATATAAGCATCCTCAAGCCAGAATCTGGACAAGCATACCGTCACCTCAACTGTGCGTTTGGCGGGCTGCTTGCCTCGAAGCGCAAAGCCTTCTGCAAGAGTTGCTCGCTCTCCGGGCGTTTCAAAGTACCTTGCTGTAGGCACATGACCGCAAGAGCTTCGGCCATTTTGGCAAATTAGCAAAGCGCAAAAGTCATTTGATCTAATACTAATGCGTACATAGCAGGATGTGCAAACCTGGCATGGACAATCATGGAGTTGCACCCATAACAAAGAAAGTTTCCATGATAAGTATAGGTTAGTTATTATATATATACCCATATTCATACACTTCAACCATCTGCATGGAAGAGTTGAAATCAGTAACCATATTCAGGCACTTCATGACCATCTCAAATCTCCACCGTCAAGACCCAAAAACACGATCTTCCTTGCAGGTCTTCAGATCTACATCGCTGGGGGTAGTGTCAGGCTGTCATGCTCCCAAGCAAAAATCACCGTTATTCAAGCCAAGCACCAGCCAGGAATCCTGGGCCAAGCTTTATGCGGAGAAAATAACCTTCGCATACCTTCGAACCGATAAGCAGCTTCCACCCTCCAATGGCCTCCAAACTACTTTCCATGGTGACTTACAGTAGTGTTCATGGTACATTCTTGCCAGGCAAAAAGACTATTGACCGTCTAGTAGTGTACACGTCTGCTGTGGATGCAGCAATACACGTGTGCCCGCCTAATGTAAGAAAGGCCACTGGCATCCAGCTCAAGTATGCGATGATCATTGACACAAGTAGTAGAAGCGCCCAAAAGCTTCAAACTTTGATTCGTGGCAATGTGTGAGGCCGACATGTTCAGAGCTATTGAACTTTCATGAGTTTTCGCAAACCCGCAAACTGCACAAGGGCACTCCCTCTGTCTGTGGAGAATGTAAAGAACACCTCCGCGGAGGTCTGTTAACAAGAAGTTATGATCTGTGGAGGTCGCGGTGAAGCCATCTCATCCTAGTAGCAATGCCCTTTGCTCCTAGTAGCGATGCCCTTTGCTCGTAGTAGTAAGGCCAGGAGCTACTAGTAGCGTCCTTGCTCCTAGTTCGTTCCTGTGTAGGTTCTTAAGCGAGTCACCAAGAAAGCTGCTACTGTTTACATCTTTACATCATCAACATCCCACTGTCCTCAACAAATTCCTCTTTAGAAAAAAACGATCCTCACCAATCTCATCCCCTACATTCACATCCCTATCACTCTACTATGAGCTACCATGAATAACACCCACCGCATCCCACGAGTCGTTTAGGCTCCACGCCACAGCCCAAGCGTCGGATTTTCTGCCGGTAGGGCCGCCCGACGTCGTGACCGGACGACGCCCAGCGCCAGGCCGCCGCCTGGGAGGTGGAATGTGACCTTTCTAGGTCATGCCGGTTGCAAAGGCTATACGGTTATATAAATTTATCAAATATAATAGTACTAGTACTAGTACTAGTAAGAACTTTAACAATAATGGAGGTAGTATTATGCATATATATATAAATATATATAAAAGAGTTGTTCCCAGGGTCCCTCCCAAACAATCATCAGCAAATTAGCAATGATTGATGAGGCAATTCATGTGTTTCTTGGAGCAACCTCCGCATGGAAAGAAAGGACACCAAACAACACAATGTCCAGTTTGCTTCTTCATCGTTGATGTACAAAACTACCTTCATGCGCTTCATGTTCACCACCCAGTCGCTTCCACCCATTTTGGTGCCTCCAAGCGCCGTGCCAGTCCTCCAGCAACCACCTCGGCCCAAGCCTCCTCCAAAGGCCCCGAAGGTCCGGCATCACCGCGCCCCACGGCGTCGCTGAAGGATCTGGCAGGGTGTCGGTGTGGCGAGGCGTGGCGAAGGGGAAGCAGGCTGTTTGAAATGGTTTCGGTAGAAATTCACTGAACAAGGCCATGGGAATGGACTGGGGTGAAGGAATCCATGTCCATCAACCCAAGGCTTCCCGGATTTTGATCACGATACATCTTTTGCAATAGGGCCTATAGGCGCTATAGGGATCCCAAATGTTGTGGTCCTTAGTCCTTATAGCTGAGAGGTTCAATTATCCCTCAGACTGCATCGTGAAGGAAGGGATTGTGTACACAAATGTGGAAGTTCATCATCCTTCCCCAAAGGGTTGGGTCTGGCTGAGCCGCAGACTTGCCAGACTTGCAGTAGAGCACACAAGCCTTTTTCTGGAACAAAGGAATCTGAAATTAACAATCGACCAGTGCTGATCAACCACCCAATGATTCAATGATCCTGGTCGCACTAAAGACCCCACCAAGATTGTCATGCCGAGATATTCCTGTTTGTTGAAGTAGCTGCTTGGTCACCATTTGGTATGACGGATTGTCCATCAATTTGGCACCGACTCTTTTGTCCACAGGATGTCGGATATGCAGTATACCATGGACCACTGCATTGATTGGGAGATCAGCCTATTAATTCAAGCACTTCCAAATCAGGATTTCCGCAGCGGCCTGGCCAGGAAGTCCAAGGACTTCTGCCGGCCATCCGCAGCCATGCGATGTGAGGACTGCGCCGGCTCGGCCAGCGGCCAACCCAACAGATTGTCAACGTGAAGGTTGGGTTGCTTGCTTGGACCAATGACCAAGGTCAACGCTCGAAAAAGAGAGTTCGTCCAAAGTGCTGAAAACATCAAAAGGGATACAGGATACAGTTCATGCGATGGACCTTGTTGCATCCACAATGCCTGCAGTCTGTTGCCGATGGGATTTGCCCTGTTTTTGTGGTGTGTGCAACATGGTGATCAAAATTCTTGTAGTTATAGAAATACACTGAGAATCGACCGCTAGATATGGTGTGGTATGTATAGCACACATGCACGCTGACATGAAGCATGCAGGATTCCCAAGGGACAAAGTGCCTCATGTGCTAGAAATCAAAAGGCACAACCTGCAGGTGTACTCTTAGATCCACCTGCAAATGGACCAGTCTTGCTGGGCTGGTTGGGTTCAAGTCCTGTGAATAACGTTGCATTCACACGAGTAGACCGTTTTTTCGTGAAAAACGAAGCACATACGTACGACAACATCTCATATCCTGATCGTGGCCGCCGCCTTTAAAACAATTTTGTCAAGTGAACGTCCTGGTGTGTTGACATGTTCGACACGCCTCAACTCACTCGGCAATTAGCCCTTGAATTGAGGGATCAGTGGAAATCTGCCGAAGTCTGCATTGCTTGGCTGGAAAACCTAAAGCACATTGATCCAGAAACATATTCAGTTTGCCAAGTTCTTTTCCACATCTCAAGTTATTGGTGAAGTCAATCGTCTTCGTGAGTGTGCATGTGCACTGCTAGGGACGAGTCTCAACGCAGCAAAGTGAGCCAGGGCAGGGCGGGCACATCAATGTACAGTAAATACGCTGATGTATGCGCCAATCGGCAAGACACTTTGAAACAACTAGTAGGCGTTTATGATTTGAAGCCAACCTCTAGACTCTATACTACCTTATTGGACCTCCTCCACGCTGAATATAAACATCTCCGAGGACTGGAAAGCAGGTCACCCACTGACTGAATGTTGCGGATCCGCAAGCGCTTGTCGTGTGGATATATAGATGTATTATATATGTATTATGTGTATGTGTTACGTGTTTGCATTTTTACATGCAAACTTGTAGTATGGTCTTTTCTTACCCACTGCAAAGCTACGCCCCACACGGGATTTTCGTCAGAGTGCACTGATGTTCTCACCCGACCAAGTCCAAGTAACAGCAAAACATATACAGTATGCCATCCAACCTGGCCACAAGCGTGCCTTCCTCTCTTCTTCTGCATCTCGTCCACCCAAACCGCCAAAGCACACCACGACCCGGTGGTTCCATGGTCGTCTTCCCCCCGCATCTCTGGGGCTGGCAACCGCCATGGTGTGGTCCCTGAGAGGAACACGCTGGCCCCGGCAAACTCCCCGCTGCTCACTTGGCATGTCTCTTTTGATCTAGGAAGGTTTGCGTAGAGACCAGGTACTCTTCACTGTCAACATCTACCAAACAGGTTTACAATGTAAAACGCATGGAGGGGGTTTACTGACCCAATAGAAGGGGTTTACTGTCAACATCTGTAAAACATAATTGGTAGGAACCCTTTCTATTTTGCCCCTGCCGCTGAGGGATCTCACTGGCAAGAGTTCAAACTTGTGTGTGACGCATCTTCTTGGCAAAATACCGCATGGTCCTGTCGCTTGGAGAGAGCTGAATAGAATGAAGGCTAAACGGAGGGTGTGTAGAGAAAGGGGGTCCGCAAAAATCGTTTATACGAAGTTAGTGCATCAAAAATACCTTCCACGAAGTTCTGCGAAGGTTTCTGGGATTTCGTTGCAGTCAGTTCTCCTACTGGCCCACCATTCCACAGCCTTGGGTTCTACGAAGGTCACGCGCCTTCCACGACGTTAGTAGAATAGGTTTTTGCAAAACCCTTTCTGTGCACTACCCTTCTGTTTGCCTTTGATAGAACCTGGAAAGGGACATATGACATAGCCCTATGAACAAAGTTGATGCACAGCTTTGGATTCAATCCATCCCTCTGCATGGCATTACTCTGAGCATCTCTGAGCAAGGGCACAAATCAAGGAACAAGCTCATTGCATGCGGTAATAAAACGTATTCAGTAGTTTCTGGCCCGCACTGGGACCAAAGCAATTCCAGCAAAACCGTTTCTACAGGTGAAAACGAACGTGAGGAAACCCAATATTTCTCTGATTGCTTTTGGCTTCTAGAAACGCCATCTTTGGGCTCACGGGCCTTCGGTATCCAAGATGACATGACGGACTGAACAGAACGGAACCATTCCTTCAGTGCGAGGAAAAAAACAACAAGAATGGAAGTGGAATGGAACCCTTAGCAGGAAAAGTGTTCGCGCTGCATGCGGATATAAAGATCGGTGTGCATGATTAAGGATCACTGATCACCAACTGCACAAACTGATTAACTACTTCTATAGAAACACAACTAGTTTGCATGTGTCCTGTGTGGGAAATAGCACGCACGGCATCACAAATTGACATGGAGAATTCCTATGGCTTCCGCTCCGCCCCACCTTGAGAGAACTCTGAGTGCCAAACTCCCATGGCCGAAGATGCCTGACAAACACCACTCGAGCAACGAGGCTCCGATGGTAACAGGATCCTGCGCCCAGCGGTTTCGCTGATCATTCTAGCTGCTAGCATCCGCATCACTGGATCAAAGACTGAAAGCCAAATGAATTCTCGCAGCTTCTACGGCACTATGATATTCGTTAATATTATGCAGTTGCACCACATTCAACTGAACGAAACCTAGTGACATAGTAGATGTAACTATCCTAACTACTTCACGTCTCTTCAGCGTGCCGTGGGATCCGCTTTGCTCCATCCAACGCCCCGTCGCTGCACGCGCCAGGTCGCCGGGGGATGATCACGGTCTCTGCACGCAGGGGGCGGTCGGGGCGCTGTCCATCGCGCGCCTCGTTGGGCGCGGTTCTGGACGGCGTTGGAGTTGGAAACGGAGTCCAAAAAGAAACGAGTCAACAGGGTTGGAGTTGAAATGAAACCCATTCAATGATTATGGTTGATTGTATTTCAACAGCCCTAAACATGTTCAGCACCATCCAGGTAGTTGCTTTGAAGGAATTAACCGTGAACATCAAATGAAGTCCATGACTCGAAAGGGTCATTCATCGGGGAGATACGAATCGGTTCAGCTTGTAAGGACCCAATCAGGCATCTTTCCCTAGGGCTTCAAGATGCTTCAAGTATTGTTGTTTCGATGGTGTTTTGGGGTGGGTTTGGGGGTTTGGGGGGTCCAAATACCTCAGCAGGTACTCGGAGTGTATTGAGTGGGCCGGACATCAAGGCCCATGACCGCCAAGACATCAAGGCCCGTGAGGCGTGACTGGCCATCATCAGATCACCCATGAACTACTCCGGCGTCTTTGCAACGACTTCCGGTGTCTCTGCGGGCTGTCCGACCAGGCCTGGAACTCATTTCTCGCAACCGAAACGACTCACAAGGAAAAGGAAAGGGCATCATCCACACACACACACACAAACCATCACAACCTTGAACTTCAAACCTCAAACTACTCCTCGCGGCGCCTCGAAAAGGAATGCGCCCCCACCACGTCCATCCTCGCTGCGCCGGAGGATGCGGAACCTCGGTGAACGCGCCGAACGGAACCGAAGAAGGAAGGAACCGTCGACTTGTCTTCAATGATCTTCTGAAGAAGCGATGGCTTAAGTGCCATCTGAAGAGATGGCTTCTCTTCAAGAAGCGATGGCTTCAATCAACTTGTTTGAAGAGATGGCACTTGTTTGATCGATCGACTTCGATATCCCTGTCTTCAACGGAAGCGAATGATGGCTGGCAGGATGAATCAATGTGGTTGGACATGTTCATCCCAATGTCCTTGTTTCAGTGGGTCCCAACAAACCATTTCAAGTATCATGCCCCACGTATGCGTGAACCATTCCACGTAATGGGCGTGTTGGGGGCCTTCAAGGGCCATCTCCGCTGTTCTCGTTCCGCGATGCGGCGATGTGCGACATAAATCGCGCTACACTTTACTTTTTAGTGATCCCCACCACACTTAAGAATCTAACAACCCTGGACCCTCACCTGACCGGTGGGAAAAACATACTTGTTAAAAGTAAGTTGTTTGTACAATGGACACTTGGCATGTCTTTCGGAGACTTATGATTCAGTCTTCCCACGTGGTTTGTCGAGGGCTTTAGGATGTTTTAGGCTTTTGCCAAGGGAAAGTCTCTGGGAATTGAGCGAGATTTTCTGGGAACCCGGGGGGGCATGTTCATGATCATCCGTGATCATGCTTGAGCCTCTTTTCTCGAAAGCACACGGCCGCAACTGCAAATGTCAGTGTGTTCGAGCACCCCGGCGTAGCATTATCGGGTAAGAAGTCTTGCCATGAATCCTGCCGATGGCCATGCTGCCAAGTGCCCCCTGCAGTCTCCCAAAAGGTTGTTGATGGTTATTGTGTCTCCCCAATCACCCTCAATTTTGTTCACCCAAGCATGACATACATGCATCAGCCAGTCCAGTGGCAAATACCAAAATGCTGTATAATTTGAGACTTTCTCAGAATCAGCTACATCTTGCTGAGATTTACCCAACACCCATCCACATCACTCAGTGCTGGGCACAAGAGTAGGGCTGAGACGGCTGAGAGGACATGAGAGGACAAACATGGACAAACCTTCACAGTTGAATGTCTACAACTAATTGAAAGAACTCCTCATTGACCTCTGAAAGTGGAGTTATCTTCCCCAAGACTCATCTACACACGTATACACACTGTATATCTACAGTATATACACTGTATATTAATATACACACGTTAATATTACGAGTACCTTGCTAATGTGTCAAAGCTACCTGTGGAACCTTGCTAGGAATGCTAGTAGGAGGACAGTCCCACTCACTCATGTGCCCGAGGCTACTCACTCATGTGCCTGTATGCGGTTGGTTCATCTGCCCCCATTAAAGCCAGCCAATGCCCCAGCCATGGGGGCTTCATAAACCCATGAGTTGAACCAGTTGAACCTCACCTGGTCCGTCGGTCCCT